CTACTGGAAGGGCAAATGGGGATGTGTGGCCTACTCATTCAGGTATATAAATATATTACGTTACCGCAAAAAGACACAAAAATGCTTATTTACTTGAAGCATCCCCTAAAAAAACATACGTATAGAAGTAGCGATATACCTTTTCTTCCATATTGTGACGTAGTGAAATGGATAAAGGAAAAAGAAACAAATGTAGGATGGGGACTTGGTTCTTTGGACTAAAATGCCATTTAGTTTTAGTCATATTTCAGTCAATTGAATTGTTTTAGTCTTAGTCTACTTTCAGTCGACTAAATAGCATAAGACTTTAGTAGACTAAATCTACAGTAGATTTCATAGACTAAAATCTAATGGGTTTAGTTACAGTGTAATGCATTCATTAGGAATTTCTCAAAAATTTCCAAACTCATATTTCCAGGGAGAAAACATCTATTAATATGGTAAAATAAATTATATTAAGGTTTGAACATGCAATATAGACATATGTAACTGCTCTGACACATAATTTAAATAAAATCACTTCTCATAAAGAAATAAGAACATGGTCCTCTTTTCAATGAAATACCAATGGTTATATACACTCACTGGCCACTTTATTAGCTACACCTTGCTAGTACCGGGTTGGACCCTCTTTTGCCTTCAGAACTGCCTTAATTCTTCGTGGCATAGATTCAACGGTGTTGGAAACATTCCTCAAAGATTTTGGTCCATATTGACATGATAGCATCACACAGTTGCTGCAGATTTGTCGGCTGCACGTCCATGATGCGAATCTCCCGTTCCACCACATCCCAAAGGTGCTCTATTGAATTGAGATCTGGTGACTGTGGAGGCCATTTGAGTAAAATGAACTCATTGTCATGTTCAAGAAACCAGTCTGAGATGATTTGAGCTTTGTGACATGGTGCATTATCCTGCTGGAAGTAGCCATCAGAAGATGGGTACGCTGTAGTCATAAAGGGATGGACATGGTCAGCAACAATACTCAGGTAGGCTGTGGC